ACCCTCGCCAGCTTGTCCTTCACCTCTTGAGCAAGGGCGGACCATCACGGTCTGCTTGTAGGCCTACCACGAAACGTTGTGAGCAGAAGACGTCGAATGGCATATCGAAAGCGATGCTCGTATGCCGTACTGCTAAGCTGGCCCATCGATGTGAACAATGATGGATCAACGAAGCAAGCGGACAAGAACGGGAAGCGCCGATGTTGTCCATTGGGCTCGTAAGGATGATGGTGACGACAAGGCAACGGATGACGAGGATGCCAGCATGAAAGACGGGAGGGCAGCGACGGGAGCAGGAGGACAACGAGTAGGAAGACAAGCGCGAGGACGAGGAATAGATGGAGGAGGACGATTACGAGGAGGAACGGATCGGAGGAAGAGGTGGAGGAGGAGAAGGACGACGACGAAGGAGGACGGTAAGGAGCCTGGGGACAAGGACGTCTAAGAAGGGGGGGGGTCCTCGTGATTTTTGAGGCTACCCTGGGAGCTGTTGAGGCCATCTGGGGCTCTCTTGGGGCATCCTGGCGCCTCTTGGGGACCTGTCGGGGGGTCCCCTTGAGGGCCTCGCTGGGGTCGTCGTGGGCTGCCTGGGCGTGTGTCAGGGCTCTGTGGGGGCTCCCTCGGGCCGTCTTGGCGACATCCTGGGGAGGAGGAGGAGGAGGAGGAGGAGCAGGAGGAGGAGGAGGAGGAGGAGGAGGAGGAGGAGGAGAAGGAGGAGGAGGAGGAGGAGGAGGAGGAGGAAGAGGAGGAGGGGGCCTCCAGGGGGCTCCCCTGGGGCCCTTTTTTGGGGGGGTCCTCTGGGGGGCCTTCTGGTGCTCTCTTTTTGGCCACGGTGGGCCCCTTCCGATCGAGATTCCACCGCGATGTTGACTCGGATCGTGAGCGTATGTATTATTATTACTACTACTCAAATTATTAATGTTATTATCCTTCTTCTTCTTATTAATATCATTATTATTATTATTATTATTATTATTAGTGTTAGTATTATTGTGATTATTATTATGATTGTTATTATTGTTATTATTATCATTATTATTATTAATATTAATATTATTACTACTAGTATTATTAGTATTGCTTTTACATGTACATATATATATAGTAATATTATTAGTATTAATAATATTCTTCTTCTTCTTATTATTATTATTATTAGTAGTAGTATTAATTGGCGTTTCGACATTCTTGCCGTCGCTCGGACGTCCATTTCCCGTGCATGGTTAGGCTTCGTGCGAATCGTTGGCTTGCTCGATGGCCCAGGATGGTCCTCGATGGTCCTCGCCGAGAACCACATGCACACGTCCGAGCGATGCCAAGCATTGGGTGGAAGGGGGGGAAGGGAGGGGGGGGGCGATCTGGCTCCCGACCTCTGCTTAGTGCGACTGTTTGCAAGAGTGCTGCCTCTGGGGGGGACTCCACCCGCTCGAAACGGGCGCCGAAGGGGGAGGGGAGTGCGAGGGCCCGCGCCGATCGGCAGAAAGATGAGTAAGAAAACTGCCACGTCCCCCTCCGAAGCCGTTTGTTTTAGGATGTCTCAAGCGAATCGGCCATTTTCCCCGAATCCGCCAGAGGTCCCGAATGTGTTTCCAAAGCCTGAAGACTGCCAGAGAACAAGCGCTCCACGCCAGAAGCGCTTCCCGTCATCCGCCGCCGCGCCCCTTGGCTTAAACGTCGAGGCGTGCTAGAACGCCAGGTGCTGCCTGGCATGGCAGGGTGCCTGTAGTGCTCTAAGTGTCCCCCCCCCTGCCCTGGCCGCGTCCAGCTGCATGCATCCCCCTCCCTCACGGAGCCACGATCTTGCAGACCAGACAACGGCTCCGCGCGCCCGAGGCCGCGGTCCGTCGTCCAGGAGTGCATGGAGCCGCGCCCCGGGCTTCTCAGACGGCCCAGGCGCGCAACCACGCCCGTCAAGAGGGCCTCGATGGCGGCCGTGATGTCCCCAAGGCGGTCAGAGATGGCCTGCAGAGGGCGCGAGATGCCCCGAAGAGGGGCCAAGAGGACCAGAAGAGTACCCCGAACAAGGTCCGAAGAAAGCGTTGGTTTAGACATCCGATTGCCTCCACAGTGTATATGTATACAGATATACATGTATACAAATGTATGCGTAGTTGTATAGATATAGATGTAGATAGTTGTACTTATACATATACATATACAATATTTGCATTATCACATATTAGGGCTTCTGTCAACTCAAGATGGCGCAGGGAGCTGGCGTCTGCGCGCTCAAGACGGCACAAGAGGCCCCCCAGACTGGCGAAAGCCGACCCAAGAGACCATTCAAACGGCCTGGAGACAGCCAAGGAGGGCCCCCAGGACGGCCCAAGAGGCCCCGACGGCAGCAACGAAGACCGGAATGTGGCCCCAAGAGATGGCCAAAAAGGGGAATTCGCAGAGACCCTGGGTAGGGGAACAAAAAGTGGCATAAACTAAAAACTCAGAGGTCCACGCGGATTTCTCGGATCGGCGCTGGACCCCCCTCCCTGGCGCGCGGAGC